ATTTCAAATTATGATTTAGATATTAAGCATTTTAAGTGCACTATAATAAATATTAATTTAAACTTTCTATGAAAAATACCTGAATTTTTACACACATCACTGGTGTTTTCTACCTAGAATTAAGGTTCCATTGGAGGATATGAATCCTGTTTATTTATTAGACAAAATAATTAAGAAAAACGGCACAATTTCGTTATAATTTGTTTACACTTTTCTAAACAAAAAATTAAAAAATAGGACAATTTTAACATTGAAAAATGCATGTAATATTAGCCATCACATCTTTATGATGACACGCATTGAATAGTTTTGCAATGATAAAAAAAATATGAGGAGACAAATTACAATGTTATCACATTCTTTTTTAGAAACCTATTTAAAATCAATATGCGATATAAATATCTATCAGTTAATCGATCTCTATATTACATAATGTCAATATGTAATATGATAGTGGGTAATATATTGTGATATTGAGTTAATATTAAATATTATGTAAAAAATATATATTTAATTAAATATATATATATATATATATATATATATATATGAAATATTTTCTATTAAATGACGTAATGTGTAGTATTTATATATTAAAGACAAAATTTATTACATATTACTTACGATAGGTAATGACTTACACAATGTCACATAATATCTGATGTTAAACATATTATGAAATATTTTACAATATTAAACAGTGCAACCTGTCGAGAAATATATTGTCATATCAAAAGCACAAGTCTGATTCATATCTCTTCGAATGAAAGAAAAACTCATAATCCAGTCAATTGAAATAAGCATGCACAATGACTACGTGGTTGGAGCCAAGAAAATATTTGTATAATCGAGCTGCAAACGGTAAAAGAAGTCTTTTTTTTTTTATTTTTCTGATCTAAATTTCCGTGAAGTCTGAATGAGTTTATTTAACCTTTGAAGAAACGTCTTCCTTGTTCGACGTCTTATTTTCTCTATATTTGACAACAGAAAAAAAAATCCAATTCCTAATCAATAGACGGAAAACATGTGATGCTCTCTCCGACATATTTCCGATATTAACATTGGCGAAGTGATCTTGTCTCTGAACCAGGAAAAGCAAGAACAGAAGTATGAGTTGCATATTTCTATGCTCTGCCAGTGCGCTGAACGCTCGGCGGTCAAAGTAAGCAAATAATTTTATTACGTTTCTGTAGTGACAATCGACATTTTGGGTAGTGTAATGGTTATGCAATCGGAAATAAAAAGAAAATGTTCATCTGATGTCGAATACTGAGATAATTCGTTACGATATCTTTCAGAATAAAACACATTTTATAGGTTAGAATAATTTAATTTTTCAAACAGTTATTGGCTAAATATTAGGGGTAGGAGGTTCTTGCCTTTCAGTGGCAACCAGTCTCCGAGAAGGAAGATTATGAATATAAAACTATCTTGATGTTTACGGTCTCTACCAGGCCATCTTGCTCTATTCGTATTACTACTGCTATTGTAGGGACATTATTATTAGAAATAAATTAAAAAATTTGAAAATTATAAATGAAATAAAACCCTAACACAAAAACGTCGTATAATTAAATAAAAATTGAGCATTAGAAAATAGTTCCAGCATGCAACAAAACGGAAATACGGGCATCTCATCAAAAGACGTCAAATTCAAGCTCCTAAACACAAACCCTGGAGATGGCGATTGAAATTGCATATTGAGTACTTTAGATGGAAGGGAAGAAAAAAAACATAAGTTTCATGGGCAAGAAGTGCGCCAAAAATATTTTAGAGTAGAAGATACGTTTGTCTCCACCTGGTTCAACAGTAAAACAGCGTGACAGAGTTGACTGAAATTGAGATGCCCGGTCAAGATTAATTAAGTTGCGCACTTTTCTTTTAATGTTCCCAAGAATCACCAGTAGAACGAGTCCCAGAAAAGATATAGCAGCAATATTCAATGGACGGACAAATGATATTCATAAATGTGAAAGATGAGACGGATTGTCTGGTACTCACAGCGAGGCTACTTTCAGTGCAGTAAACCAAGCAATTGATGCAGTAGGAACACTTCACTTCATGTGAATCGAAATCGTGGGCCAACGTGTTGCTTTCCTGGAGATTAACATCAGCTATGTCGATTAGAAGCAGATAATGGTATATATTCTGATTAAATGAAAGGTCTTTTTTTTTTTTTTTTTTACATATATATATAGGTGTTAAATTTCAAACAATACTTGAAGCGGTTAACTACTGATTGTCGGATTCTATCGGGAGTAGTTACCAGTTTAATGTTGTTGGCATATCTCAACAAATAAAATAGAGCATTTATGAAAATATATAAAAAAATGAATTTGAATATCAATTGCAGGTGTCAGTCTGATCCTTCCTCGTTATGCTCAAATGTTTTTGGAATTGTATAATATTTATTAATTCTATATTTCTATTTGCACAATATTTTCATTAGTTTATCTTTGTTTCGCAAATTGCGAGAAGATATTGAAGTAAACTGGTGAATTCAATTTTTCACGGGAGAAAAAGTAAAACACAGCATAAATCGTTAACTAACTGCGTGAGCATCAAACGACGCATACTGCAAAGTGTGACTTAGACATTTTATATCTTAGGTCAGGCGAATAGCGATAAGTAATGTCTAGACATTTGATTTACAGCCCTTCAATTCATTGCCCTGATCTGATTTAAGCAGGGACCAAGCAGTCAGTTTACAATTATAAATGTGATCTCTCGAAGGTTTAGGTCAAGCAACTAAAATACCTGAATATATATATATATATATATATATATATAATATTCTTGTGTGTCTATATATATATTTATTCGTCGCCATTTTTATATTTTCTTGTTGTTTTTTAGTCGACTGCAAGGTATAGTAGGGACAGTTTCGAAAACTCTATGAAGAAAGGTCCACATGAGACAATAAATATCCGGCAGAAATTTGTAAACGGCATGGTCTCGTGCTTGGTATTCAAACCTGAAACCCCAATACGACTATTGCAGTGTGTTTTGGTTTCAATCTGAGGACAGTGGAGACAATTTGGAAAGAAGTCGATGACTCTAGTGTTGTTTACGAAGGTACGGCAGGTCCTAAAACTCATTCTGATCTTTCTCCTAAAAAGAAACCATTCATTTGTTGGTGAAGGACTCTGATGCTTACATCAAGTGCCTTGAGGTAGTACGGCACTGGGTCAGGAGACTGGCTGCTGGAACAACATATGTCGGGTAACAGGACTCTGCCGCACAAGCGAAAGAAAATTGTGGTGACTGTGTGGAAATTTCTACTACCACATCACCATTTACATCTGGCCACCTATGTCCTCTGATTACAACTCCCCTTGATTATTGGGTGTACAATCACTTGAGCGAAAGTCTAACAAATCCTCTTGTAATAGCAAATAGTAACTGAAAGCAAGGATTAGAGCAGCATTCACCACCTTAAACTAGGAGTTCAGCCCGAAGAGTTGCAGGAGATTCTGAAGTTATCTAGAAGCCATGGTTGAAGCCAATGACGAGTTTATTAATGAATTTGCACTTCAGTATTTCAAGATATTTTTGAATAATTTCAGTAAATATATTTGTTAGAATAATGTCACTTATTTGCAATTTCGCCTAGCTTAGACTGATGTTTACCAGTTGCACAGTGTGTGTGTATATATATATATATATATATATATATAACTGCGTCACCATATAGCATTATGTAAAATCTAATAAATATTACATAATTTAAAAATTGTGGAAATTAACGCCGTTTTAATCATATATAGGTGGAAATGTTTTTTCTTGTTTTGCCATTTTAGTCCTTGGCTGGATGATCTAACATCCCCAACCGTGAGGGCTCAGTTGGCTTTTCAAATTGAACTCGTTCGGTGGTATATACGGTATTCATCATATTACAAGTCACTGGCTACCTGATGATTGTGTTCAAACACATCCAAAAAATATTAGTGGTCAGTAAATATATATATATATATATATATATATATATATATAACAGGTAATCAATTCGTCGGTATATAATCAGGGTGGATTGTGGTAATAATAGATACTGAAACTAATCCAGAGAGCTCGATGTATTTATTATAACAGAGCATATGTATTGTTTTTCACCCCAAAACAAGAAATATCTCAACATAGAAAATAGTCTATTTCAAGCCGTTCTGTACACGGCTATGTTGAGGTAATTTTTGTTTTTTGCTGTTATATATATATATATATATATGTGTGTGAGTGTGTGATATAGTATAGTTATATATAGTAGAACACAAACAGAAATGTGTGAGACCGATAGAAAGAAAGTCCGAAATTATGAATTCACTATCTGCGTATATATGTCATAATAGTTTATATTTTTCAGAAATTACTTATTTATATAAAAGAATTATACTAGTCATATAAATATTTGAATTCAGTTCATTACATTAATTATCCTTGTTTGTGCAATTTATAATGGCTGAAAATCAAAAACAACTCTTAATTATATAAGTTTTTGCGGAAGACGTCACGGAAGCTGAGGTTATATTTAGTGTACCCAAGCCATCATTGGGATATATTCTCCGAAACGATGTGGCTAATTATTATTTTGTATTATCTTTATGTCCTGATGCAAAACTCTGCGAAAAGCAACAACCTTAATGATGAAATATACAAAATCAATGAAAACAAAATATACTTTAAAAAAAGCTTAAAACCCAATGTTTAAAAGAAAATTAACACAGCTTTCAATAATTATATATACGCGGGTAGCGGTTAATTACTACTCTTTTTAGCCAACATAATATTCAATACATGATTTCCTGGAATATAGGCAACATTCGTTTTTACACACATATTCTCCAAAAAACTCTATTTAAATTGGTAGTTCTTCGACAAAATAGAACGAATTTATGAGCTACACATGATACGTTTACATGACAGAGTCACGTAATAATATTTTTTTATATTACAACCCCACATTCACGTTCATTAGTTAGTAAGAAGACATGTGTCACACTCAGCTATTACCTCAGATAAATAATCGAACATTCAGCGAAGAAACACAAAGAGAAAGATTCATGAAAGAGAACGAGACAAAAAAGGAAGAGAGAGAGAAAAAAAAGAGAGACAGTGAATGAATAACGTAAAAAGAGAGAGAGAGTGAAGATAAAGGAACAGAGAGAGTGAAGATAAAGGAACAGAGAGAGTGAAGATAAAGGAACAGAGAGAGTGAAGATAAAGGAACAGAGAGAGAGAGAGAGAGTGAAGATAAAGGAACAGACAGAGAGAGAGAGAGAGAGTGAAGATAAAGGAACAGAGAGAGAGAGAGAGAGAGTGAAGATGAAGGAAGAGAGAGAGAGAGAGAGAGTGAAGATGAAGGAAGAGAGAGAGAGAGAGAGAGTGAAGAGGAACAGAGAGAGAGAGAGAAGATGAAGAGAAGGAAGAGAGAGAGTGAAGATGAAGGAAGAGAGAGAGAGGAAGATGAAGGAAGAGAGAGAGAAGATGAAGGATGAAGGAAGATGAAGATGAAGAGAGAGAGAGTGAAGATGAAGGAAGAGAGAGAGAGAGAGAAGATAAAGGAAGAGAGAGAGAGAGAGTGAAGATAAAGGAAGAGAGAGAGAGAGAGAGTGAAGATAAAGGAAGAGAGAGAGAGAGTGAAGATAAAGGAAGAGAGAGAGAGAGTGAAGATAAAGGAAGAGAAGTTCACAGAGAAAAATGATTTGTACGGGAATATATTTTACAAGGACATTTGTGTAAAGTGAAAATAAATCTAAGTACACCAAGCGCGCAGCAAACACACATTCATTCAGCGTGAAAGTTTTGAGTAATATGGAAAACATCTAACGAACAAAAAGCAGGTATCTGCCTTCTATTGCCTATTAAAACTCTGGGTGCTCGAATATTCAATACTGGCCTCGTGTAAGACGTGTCTCTTACAACTATGATGTTTGAGGTTCTTAGCTCAGTCGTCCATGAAATATTCATGGAGAAATTAGTATATCGGAAAGTGCCATTCTGTTGCATCAAATATCAGTTGATTGAGAACATTTTTTTTCAGCTTTTGGAACGGAAAAAATATATAGGACCTTTCTTCAGCAAATGACCTTTCCAGGCTGGATTCTATGACCTGGAAGCATTTTCCCCACCGACATAAAAATTTGAAGTTCAAAGATTTAATGGCCATTTTGTTTTATAATGCAAAAGATGTGCTTGCCAGTGGATAAGTATCACATCGCCAGACTTATCTCTGTCGGATAGCGTAAAGAAATTCAGAATCCACCGACTGAATGAGAACTGTCCGTCGAAACATGCTAGATTCGAATGTGTCGTTCTGTTTCAGGATATCACCACCTCGACCCAATCAACCTGCCTAGAAGAATATAGTTATTCACCTTATTTTCATGTTGACGCGCCTTTCGATGCTCATTGGATTTGGTGTTTTCACCAGATATTTATTAGGGAAGCGATTCCGCACATATTACCCTGTTGTTGCCTAGTTAAGAAGTTAGATCTAGTCGCTCTACTCGAAGTTATTCCATCAGGGTTTATGTCCGCTACTTAAGAATTACCTAAACACTTTATCGAGTATATGGAAGCAAAATATAATTTTTAGCATATACACAAGGTTTTATTTTATTGGAATAACGACGTTGCATTCGTCCAACGTCATTATTAATTATTTGCATTTAAACGTAATGTCTTGTTTTCCCTGGATTATCATATATTTTTTTCGTTTTGCATTGTTATATTTGTTCATATCCGATGACTTACCGAGAAACGGTGAATAAAATCAACTAGCAATAAAAATAATGGCGATGAGTGTGAATTATTTTATGGGATGACTACTGAAATCTTTTGCAACACATTCCAGGCTCAAAAAGAATTCTGACGGCCTCATTATTAAGTAAACCTCAGAACCCATGGTGAACTTTGCAGGAATTTTGTCGTCGAGCAGGAACTACCGATACAAACAAAGAATGATCAAATGAAGCTTATGTTGCTTACAACCATTTTGGTTGAATAGTTCTACGGATATGTTTGTCCACATAAGCATCTATCCCTTTAAATGCTGTGGTAACTTGTGACAGAAATCTCAGAGATATACAAAGCAACAGTTCAAGTGTACTCCATTTGTTTTTGTTTTTTACCTCACAGATCGACCGAATAGTCGACATGAATGGAAGTGCGCAGACGGCAGCTCTGCTTGAAATACCTCATGGCTGAGGAAAATCTTTCAACTCTAAACTGTAGGTAGGTATTACCATAGGATTATTTACCGACCGAAACTATCGAAAAACATATCAAGTCAGAGAAAATAATAATAAATACATAAATAATTGATTAATAACCCATGCAGAGTCAAAATATCATCGTCAATCAAAAATATTTTGATTGAAAATAAATTAAACAAAATCAGCGAAACAATTTTATAAACTGTCCATAAACAATGTCCTAAATCTAAAAGAAAAAAACATTTTAAACACAACAATCATTTTACTATTTGGATGTGCGGGATCTAATTTTTTTTTAAAATATCAAAACAATTTCTTATCAAAGGTAACGTATCCTTAACCTTGTAGTTCAACAATTTCGTTAATGAATAACGCAGACATATAAAATCTATTTCAATTCATTCTTCATAATAATCCTTATTTACATGGTAGATATGTGTATCAGGCAATAATATCTCAGTGGGGGGAAAAATTGTTGGTTACCTTTAATGTTTCCAAAAACGAAATAGATGCATTCTATTATCGCCGATCAGACTCTGGACTATCACAAAGCACGATAAATTTAACGGTGGCCCCCGTCCTTTGAGCGCCTATTAAGAATTAAACTCAACGCCAGAATCCATCACTACAGATGTCGGAAAAAATGTTTGATTACCGATACAGCGCCTGTTATTCTTTACCTTTTCAAGAGCCAAACCAGACAGGAAATGGAGTTATTTTTCCATATATGGAAAGAAGCTGACCGTTTTTTCACTATTGAGTTTCGATAAAGTACAAAATCCGCTTTGCTTTATTGCGGGGTAACAAATAGTGTTACACCTTACACTTCCTTTCGCACAGACGTCAAGTCGCAAAACACTCTGCTCTATCGCTGTTTCCACGGAAAGTGCTCAAGCGAACGATATCCCTTAGATGCACTTATAACCATCACTGCCAAGACTTTCACATTGTAAGGAACTACCTTCCTTCCCTCTGTATACCATTGGTGAGATGTAGAACCTACTTGAGCAGACTGCTGCATTGTGCAACCTACTCCCAAGAGGATATTTCCCTGGTCCCTATAATCTAAACTCTTCAAACCTAGATTTAACCATTTCTTTCCATTCTATCCCTATAAATTGTACCAAGTACCCTGTAGGTCTCTAACTTGAGTGACTCCTGAGGCTTGTACAGGGTGAAGCATATTGTAAGAAAATTAATATCGGTTTAAATTTATAAAATTCTTCTTCAAATAATTTTTTACTTGAGATTTTTTTATCAGGAAAAAGTGTTTTTCACGTTCATTCTTATTGACTTTTCTAGTAGTAATAGGTGACCCCTTCCCAACCTTTTCAGTGCAGTAATGTCGAACGCCAACATTACCAGCATTTCCTTATTTGCTCTTCTACTTACATAATACTATTCATTGTTAGTTGCTTTAAGTGTACACAATATCTGGAAATATTTCTTTTTGATCATTTAACAAAATATTTTACAGCGAAAAATATTTCGATGAGTTCGAGTTTTCTCACAAATTCGCCTGAGAGCAGACCTTTTTAATACAATGGTTTACGGCAATATCCCTTCGAAACCAAGATCTCGTTCTGTCGCTGTAGTTAAGCCTAGATGGGTGACTGCATGGGAATACGAGTTGTAAGCTTAATGTGTGAGTGACGTAATCAATAAAATCTGAGCGAGAGAAATTGGAGATCAGTTCGAATTCGAGTCTTGTTATGTTCATCCACTTACTGAAATAACCTTGGGGTATTATGAATCGGAAAGGGACATGATCGTCCGAGCAGAACAACATATCGGCATTCGATGAAAAGAACAAATAACAAAAAAACAGAAACAAAACAAAACACAGTTACATTACATATTTTTGTAACTCTTCGTCAGAAAGACAATATTGAAGAAAATACCTAGTAAAACATATATATATATATATATATATATATATATATATATATATATAAAACTGTGCACTACTTTCAAATTTAGACAAATAAATTGATAGGGAAGTGTACATCAAAGCAGTTTTGTTTCCAGTTGTCCGAGATCAAAATTGATATCAGAATGAAGAATAATTACTGGAGAAACTGTTCCGTTTTCAACTTGGCCGACAGAAATCTATGTCGAGCGACAGAAAAATCTACGGAATTCAGTTTCTGCTTCCGTCAGAGAAATGACTTTAAAGCGAGGAATATAGAAAAAAAAATAAAGAAAAAAAGAAGAGTACATCACTTCCGAAATTTGCACAATAAAAAATGGATTTATACAGACACAGATCAAAGAGAAGATCAGATATATTTTTTAAAATCAAAGAAAAATAGGATAACGTTGTTTCCAAATATTCCGACAACTAAAATTATATAAAGTCATTGATGAATCAAGGGGAATAGTCTGTTTAAATATTACCCGACAGCTAATTCAATGCGACGGAAAAATTAAGGTGCTTTCATATTTCCCGATTTTAAAATCAAAAATGTATCAGTTTAGAAGATGTGTACACTTAAAAAAATAAAATCTGACAAAATATTAATTTAAAACGAAAGGATATATGAGTTTACTGCTTCCAATTTATTCGACAGAAAAGTGAATATAAAGTGAGTAATACATCAACAGAAAGAAAGTATGTAATTACAAATTGTCCGAGAGCGAAATTAATTTAAATTGAATGATAAATCGATGAATGGCATTTTTTTCCTTTCAAGTTAGGCGAATGCAAAACGAATTTAAAACGTAGAATAAATAAAACAAATATGAACAAATAATCCGCCATCAAAGTGATTGATAACACAGCAAATTTAAAGCGAATATCAAAACAAACAGAACAAAATTTATATATTCAAATTTCCGACTACAAATACTATTTAAAGCGAATCAGGAGTGAAGAAGTATCAATTCGCTGCTTGCAAATTCTCCTCTGCAAATATTGGAAAATAATTGATTCATTAAGAAATATCATTTGTGAATTGAAATGTTCTACCCCAAATCTTCATTTTATTTTTAAAGATGGATACAATTTTCGCCTGCAGGTATCTCAGTTTTCAATCTAATATTGAATGAAGAAGAACGGACTCTTTTCAGACTGGTGTTTCGTAACATCTAAATAAATTTAACACACAAAAAAAGAGATCCTTTTTACCAGGTATATACATTAAAAATATTCGAGAGTTAAATTAACGAAAAAGAATGATAAATCATGTAAAACCGTTTTCCTTTTTCAAATAGTCCGACAAAAATGAATATAAAACAAAAGACTGATAAAAGTGTACAAGTGGATGATTTTAACAAATGAAAATAAATATTTAAATCGAAGGTAAATCAAAGAGAACCGATTCATTTTTCACCTTGTCGAAGAGCGAAATGAATTCGACAGGAAGGATATAACTTGAAGAACCACTCCATTAGTCTAAAATTGGCAGATATCAAAATAACATTAAATCGAAGGAAAAAAAAATTATTGATTTGCTTTGAAATTTTCCGAAAGCAAACGGAATTTTAAACGAGTGATATTTCCAAGAGTTAATTTTTCATTTTTCAAATTTCCTGACAGCAAAAGGAAATTAAAGACTATTGATAAATCAAGAAACATCAGTGTGCTGTTTTCAAACTTTGTAGAAGAG